TTACACCATAACATTTTCCAAATATTTTGAGCTGTTTACTGACATTTTCAGTTTCCATTTTTTTTTAGTTTATTGGTCTATAAATAATAAATATCAATAAAATTTTAATTGTTGATTAAAAACCTAGAAAATTTAATAGAAGGCTCATATAGTAAATTGTTTTAAAGGCAGATGAAAAAAATAAAAATTACATAGACAAAATTTTTTTTATAAGCATCTACAGTTTATATATTGACAAAATACGTATAAATGACGAAAAATTGGAAATTATTTTGAGTTAGAAATTCATGAAAAATTTTCATTTTAAATCTAAGATTTGAAAATGTAATACAAGATTCTTCATAAGTTTGCCTACCTTTATCAAAATAAAAAAAAGTGCTATGCTGTATAGTACTGTAGGTTACAAGTGGGTCACTGTATAATGGATGGTATTAAAATTGAATTCAATGATATAATATCAATTGTATATTTGTATAAGTAAAACGATTCTGAACGTAGACGGTATGTCAGTTTGGTTATAACGTATAAGAGATATTATATACCTGTCTAATATGGTATTAAAAAAAATTGACCTATAAAGATACCTATGATAAATTAAAAATTAATCATAAAACAATATAAAACCCTGATACTATCATAAATAGGTATATAATGTAGAAGTTGCAAGTACCCACGATTCACGAATAATATTATTATTATACAATCACAACAAAATAACAAAAACAATTATTCTAAGTTTTAGATTCTGAGTGGAACGATGAAAGTATTGGTTTTACAATGATGTTTTTTTATTTATTTTTGTCTGTCATCACGGTTTGGGGGCAGTAAAACTGCTTCAATTTTCTTCAACAGTATCTTGTTCGATGGGAAAGTGAATCTAAATGGTGCATTCGGTATATCAAATTTTAAAATTCCAATATTTAAATTTAAATTCAAATATTTATTTTGAGCTCTTTACGGACATTTTCAGTTACACTTTCTTTTTCTAAAAATATCAATAGAATGTTATTTGTTGGTTAAAAAAGCTTGAAAATGTAATACAAGGCTCCTACTATATTGTTACAATGGCATTTGAAAAATATTAAAAATCCTTAGTCACAATTTTTTTTTATAAGCATTTAAAGTTCAAAAATTGACAAAATATGGAAAAATCACGAAAATTAGTAAATTATTTTGAGTTAATAATTCGTAAAAATTTTTCTTTTTAAATCTAAGGTTTTAAAATGTAATACAAGATTCCTTATGAGATTATCTAAATGTATCAAAAAAAAAATGTCTATAAGAAAGTAAAATTAAATTTTTATGAGCGTTTGAAATTAAAATTTTTACAACATTGGATATTCAGTATTCACTCGATTTCTCATGTAGCGATTTCCTTATTTTGTTGTAATTCAAAAACAAATAACTATAGATACATGAAAACTTCACTGAATATTTATATTAGCATTTCCTATACACCATACAATTTTGAAAATATTTTGACTCTTTTTGAGCTGTTTACTGCCATTTTCAGTTTCCAAGTTTTTTAGTTTTTTATTATAAATATCAATAAAGTTTTATCTGTTGGGCCAAAAAGTGTAAAAATTTAATACAAGGCTCCTGATATAGGTATTGTTACAATAGTAGTTGACAAATATTAAAAATACATAGGCACAATTTTTTTTTATAAGCATTTAAAGTTCGAATTTTGACATTTATCAATGATATTTTATTATTGAATTCAAATTTAACACCATCTCACTTGTAACCTACTGTACAGCAAAGCGACATCCACTTACCCACCTTTTTAATATTATATTATATTTTGAAAATTATTGAATAAACTGTTTTATTAGATCATATTTGGTTAAAATTTTAAATCAATATTGATGAATTTTGTATGTTTTGTTTGAAGTAATGACAACTGATTGTTTACATTTTCCAGTCACCAACAAAAGGGTCACTTAAAAGTTTGTAGTGAAAATGTCTATAATTTTTTTCTTGTGTGACCATGACAAGAGGTTGAGTGATCAGATTGAATTTAACCTTACCTGACTCAGAGGTCAGCTCACACCTATATAGTACACAGTTTGATATATTCATAACATTCTTAGTTTAATTTTTTTTCATAGAAAATACTAAATATTTTAAAGAATAATCAATTATATTTGTATACCCTATAATAAATATTACTTACAAATTAAACTAAAGTGAGATTTGAGCATTTATGTAATAATTACAAGCTCGTAACTAGCATTAAAATTAAAAACAGTATAAAACCCAACATAATATATATGGATGTTTTATTAACTTTAATAATAGATAAATTTACTCTTATACTAAAGCTAACTCAAGGTTGGTTCTGCACTTCTGCAGTTCCACTGAACATAAATTTGCAATATGGCATATGGGCCAAGAAGTCGAAACGAATAGTGCTGATATATTACTTAACACTTGAGTATAGAAAATAAGGCTGTATCACTATTGAAATCATGACATTTAAAGATAATTATAGTTCTTATTCTTCTTACACGTATAATGTATATGGTACATAGTCATAGACTCATAGTATAACTCTGTAAATATAAAAATATGCTGAATATTTTGTATCATTCAAGAGTTGCACTTCAACATTTAGAAGTTTTGAAAGGTCAAGTATTAATTCCTAGAAGTTGATGTACTCATGTTTTAGATAAAAATTAGTTCAATCTACCATGACTAATAGTCATAAAAAAAGAAAAATGATGAAATATCCTGTACTCTGTTCAGATAAAGATTGAACAGCTCGCTCGACCAAATACATTTTTTTCACGCATTCCGGACACCGGTGGGAGCGTATGCACGGCGGCCAATCACAGAACGCATGGAGGGTTAGGCACTGTTTGGCGGCTCAGTCTGCATGAGCGACATGGTTCAATCTTAACTTGAACCAAGTGTAGAAATAGAAGCTGACATGTTGTCACTGCTCAAAATTGTTTTTATAAGCAATGATTCATCAACAAATTAAAATTGTACACATCAGAATGAGTTGGATTCAAAATAAACTTAACAGCAGAGCATCTTCCCCAGTTTCTATAGTTGAAAATAATTAGTTTAATTTTATATAGTGAAACCTGGCTTAATGGTTACCACTTTCAACAATTTGATTAAAATTACTAATTATTATATTGTTAAAAACAACAAAACATGATAAGCATGAGGAAATATATACATTTTTAACAACTAAAATATACAACAAAAATTGTATTTTTAATAATAAAAAACAATAAAATATATATTTTAGACCAACTTAGAGCAAAATTATAATTGAGGTAAAAAAATAAATTAAATATAAGTATGTTGACAATAATAATTAATATTAGTTTAACTTAAATACGTAATATAATGGTATTAAACACTATCTATAGTATACTAATGGTTTAAAATTAAACACAGGTATACACAATTTTTGGAGTATAAACTATGTGTAACATTTGCATTAGGGTATTTCTTAATTTAAAAATAATAATGAGAGTTAAAATAGTACCATTAAATGGAACTAGATGACATTATTTATTTTATTGACATTTTAATTTTATTCTGTAAAACATTATCCAAAATAATATTTTCAAAATAACACAATATCTTTTTAACTTCACATTGATTAAATAAATATAAATACAAAAAAAAAAGTAATATAATCTTTTTTTAATAGAATAATATATTTATCACCTAGTTCTTTTCATAATTTAAAATCTTAATATTATACTGTTGTAAACAACTACATATCTATTTTATTCATTAACATGTATATAGTATATACTAATATATATTCAACAAAAATGAAGCCAACAGTATGTATAAATATAAGAATATAAATTTTAGACAAGCATTTTAATTTCTGAAACCACACAATAAGAAACCATAAGTTTAAATGCCATTACTATAAATAAATTGGATTTCAAAAGAGGTATCATTCACATCAATATATTTATCATTAACACACATTGTATAAAAAAATATTAAATTATACCAGTCTCGTTCTTATATCAGATACAACCAACACAGTTAAATGTTTTTTTTTCTATTTGGAACAAGTAGTTTTATGTTTATATTTTATGTAACATTATATGATTTGAGTTATTTTAACATTATGACTACATAGACTATATTATACTTAATTCGAGTTATACTACCAACATTTACAATTGTTTAAATATATTTTCCTTTTTTTAGTATTTCAATATTAGATAACAATTTTATATTTAATTTCGATTTAATTAATAAATAAAACTACATTTGGCACAACATATAACATACGTAAGATAGTCAAGATAGAAAATAGATGTTGTGTAATGTGTAAATCACGATATGTAAGTGAAGAAATAACTGGTTCATTTTGTTATTACATTATATCGGAATAAATAAAATGTGGATATGATACTAGAGACAGTAATTAATAATTATCGACTGAACAAAATTCAGACCATAAGTTGTTTAAGAATGATTATGGATTTCAGACCTTATATGGCCTCCACTAATAATTTAGTTTCTCAGAATAGTATATCAGTCAAATTTCCTTTAAATAAAAAATTAAATAAAAATATAGATAGAACATCTGAAGTATTATGATGTATTCTTCTTAGAAAATAGTAAAGGCAATGAAAATTCACCTTAGTCTATTTATATCGCTAAAGTTATAAGTATTGACATGATTGGTTTAACATTCAGAACAAAATATAGTATTATTAATAGTAAAATATAGAAGTTATTAATTAATGTTGTTTTAAATTTTCTAGATAGCTAATAAACTATGTATAATGTAGTTATGTTTTCTAATCATAAACTAATTTGAATTATTTTATACAGCTCAATATCAATTAAAAACTAAGTATAACACGAGGTATGACATTATTCTAGAATGTTTTTTTTAGCAATACCTATTTTATAAAGTAAACAAAAACATTTTACAATTATAATAACTAAAGCCTACTGACTGAGTTGCGAATACTGAATACTTTAGGTAGTATTTAATTGTATACTTAATTTTCAACAATTTCAAAGGACTTTAAAACAAATTCTTTGAACACATTGTATGCTTTATCTAAGGACTCGTTTATTATAATACAATCAAAGTTTCCAGGCGTTTCTCCTAGAAATATGTATGATAGATATTATGTTATGTTAAATATTTACAGTTATTTATCAAAGCTTTAAATTTACTGACCATAGTTAATTTCCTGTTGTGCGACATTCAATCTAGCGCGTAGATTATCCTCAGACTCAGAATTCCGTCTGCGCAATCGTATTTCAAGTTCACCAATACTGGGAGGTTTAACAAACACACCGACCGGTTTCAGATTAGCCACTTTTTTGATTTGAATGACTCCTTGCATGTCGATATCAAGAACACAAATCTTGCCAGACTTTTGAACATTTTGTACAGCTTTAAGGCTGCAATCATAAATAAAAAATTAAAAAAACACGGTTACCGCTTATGATGAAGATGTGCTGAAAGACGCAGAGAGAAGCCAATCTTACCTGGTACCATACATGTTATTGGAGAAGATGGCGTGCTCGAGGAATTCTCCTCGATCGATGGCCGCTTGCATTTGGTCCTTTGTGGTGAAGTGATAGTGTTGGCCATCCACCTCGAAACGCCTCGGCGATCGGGTGGTGTGCGACACAGAGAAACCAAACTTGTCGGGATATTCGTCGAACAGCTTGCGCAGCAGCGTCGACTTGCCGGAGCCCGACGGGCCGCAGACCACCAATAGCCTCGAGTTCTGTCGCACCATTTTCGTCGTGACACCTATTATTATAGTACAATCACACAGAAAACTGAAAAGGTTAAAAAAAACCGTGTGAAATGGTTACTGCAAACACAAATAAAGGCTTTGAACAGTAGGATAAGGTTAGGAACGAGCGGGAATATTTATATTATTGATAAACGATAATCGATACTATTATGTCGGATGCTTTTCAATCGTAAGTACTATAGGTACCTACCCCCACAAAATCGAATTAAAAATTAAACAAAAATACCGGACTAAAAACAAAGGTCTCGAAAACCACGCGGTTGTACAAAACTATGAAATTAGTAATAGGTATGTATATTGTATAATTATGAAAACATTTCATACAGACGTGTACTATCTACAGCAATACCGAATATCGACAAATCGACGTCGCTACTATCAAGCCACCAAGGTATAAGGTACCACGGTTGAATTTCGCGGCAATAAGCGAGAGCGGCGATGCGATCGAGACACACGAAGACGCCAGTCGCCAAGTATTTGCGTAATAACTAATTGACCACCGATTGGAAAAGAGTACAGGTTAGACAAGATTAGTGGGCCACGCTTTGGATTTTGGAAACGAGAAGTGAAAAACGTCACAAACGGAGCGGCGCCGGTAAACAACGTATACCGACCAATAGGTACACAGCGTTTCGGTGTACCAACAGATTACAGGCTACAAATACCTATACGGTATACGCCTCCACACCGTGCGACTGACCAGTGAAAGCGCAAGGTGGGGTGTCCCACGCCGTCTGTCACCATCGGCCATCCTCACCTCTTATAATAGTGAGCGAGGTCCGCCAAAACATAATTTTACTATTATATTTTATTATTTACTATCGCAGAAACGGTCAACAAGTGAACACTGTAGCGCCAGCAGTATAAAAGCCGTTGTTGTTATGTTGGGTACTTGGGTAAGTTGGTCGAATACTCGTCACTCGAGTGTCGCGATTAGACTGAAAGATAGAGAAAAAAAGAAGACGTTACCTATGCAGTTGGCACTTGGCAGACAGAACTCAGCCGGTCGGCAAGACGAAATCGCCGAGTTGCGAATACAACGTGGGAGAGCGGACTGCGAAATAGGAAATACGATATCGATATGCAAACATACGCTTCCCTCGGATCACCCATGCACAGACGGCAGACAGACGCGGTCGGCGCCGCCGCGCATGGCGCACAGCCCGACAGCCGTTTACTATTATCATTTATCACTTATCAAATAGTATCAGTGTTTATAGGACTAATGGCCTTATCGACTACGTACTCACGTGTGTGCATAGATAACACTATTGATAATACATAATGGATAAGAGTAGGCACTGGCACACGACTGTCCGTCTCGACTTCCGAGTTCCGACTTCCGAGCAGCTGCACACCGTTTGCTTCTGGCAATCTGGCTTCAGTGCTGCAGCTGCACTACAACAGTTCAAGTGTAAACTGCGGTCGTTCTTGCCCAACGATTAGGGTAGTCACCGTCTGTTCCTACCACGGTTTGTGGCTGTCCGTACGTCGATCACACAAATAATTAATAACGATATTTAGAACTTTAGACCGTCCACACCAATATTCGTGTGCCATGACATCGTCATCCGATCAACAGCTGCACGACGTCCCACTGGTTCAGAAATTCAATGCGAAGGTGAGTAGTACTCCATTAGGGTATGGGTTAATTCCGCCAAAACAAAATTTGTATTTCAGGGTCAATAATACCAATTGCGCAGCTTATATATTTTAAGATCAGTGTACCAATTGTGCTTCATTTATTTTATTGTTAGTGTACCAATTGCGCCCTTTATATTTTACGGTCAATATACCAATTGCGCTTGTATTCAAATTTGCCTGGCGGCTACCTTCAGATTTATAGATATTGTTATTCGATCTCGATCTAATTCCATCAACATAAAATGCTTGAAAATTAAAAACGTATTTATTGATCAATTGATTACTGGTTAGAATGATTGGTTATAAATTATAATACATTTTATAAGAGTATCGGGAATTTTATGAAACGTTATTATTATCACGGACATATTTTGATCACGGAAGTATGCATTTGAGTGATAGACGAAAATAAATTATCATTATCATACATTTTATATAATTGACGATCAAAAAGTAACTTGTGAAATGTGAAGAAAAAAATTATATATTATAATTATATTATGTATTATGCATTAATACTGGCAAAAAATCGGTTAGTGTAATCATTTATTATATAAATATAATTTATAACTAACTAATAACTTTTCCTTAGGTAGTGTAACATGTTTTGAGCGCAATAAATTGGTCTATTGACCCTGAAATGTATAAAGCGCATTGGTATATCACCCCTAAAATTTTAGAGCGCATCGGTATAGGTATGAAAAGGTCATTTTAAGTGCAATTAGTAAACTGCCTTCCATTATCCGGCAACTGGTATTATAAATAATTCAGTGGCGTACCTGCCGTAGTATAGCACTCCCAGAACTTTTAAGAAAAAATTAGAAAATTATTTGGTGTTCTGTGAACGTAAGCCGTGTATTAACATTGTTATTTGTATGAAGGTTTCAGCAAATTCAAGTTTAAATGATATTTTCTTATGGGCGGCCGTGGCATACCAAACATCGTTATTTGTTAAGGGGATTCGATACCGTGATTTTCTGTTTTTGTCTAACACATGCGTGACATAGTATTTTAGGCGTGTTTTTTGCCAAACATTCCAGTTGATCTATTGAAGCGATAAGATTTCTGAAAACAGATTTGAATTTCTCGTCAAGTCTACTTGAAATCGACTTTCCCACATTTTTGATTTTTTGATTTTAACTTCTCCAAAAATTGAAACAACAGAATTTTTAAATACTCTTTTTGAATATGACATTTTAAAAAATTTGGGGATAATATCAAAATGTGGGAAAGTCGATTTCAAATTCAAATCTGTTTTCAAAATTCTTATCGCTTCATTAGATCAATTGGTATGTTTGGCAAAAAAACACATCTAAAATACTATGTCTCGCGTGTGGCAGACAAAAACAGAAAATCACGTATCGAATCCCTTAAGCATCTCTCCTCCATAATAAATTACTCCCTGTCCCAAAAAAAAAGCAAAATTCTGCCATCTTAGCAAAATCCACTGATTATATATCTTTACGGAGCAAAATTAATACAATATTTATATCTGCAAACCTCCTTTTGATAGTAATTATTGTTTCTGTAATAATAGTCTTTGCATGTAGTAACAATCTATTTCCGTACGTCTTGGCAATCCAGTTCGTATTGTAGAATTGTTATGAGGTATTATATTATATTATACATCGGCTATCCCGAATGAGCTCAATCTTAATAACAATATGGTTCGATGATATGATAAATGATAATCGACTTATAGTTTCCTAGCCAGGTGGTGTTGGGAGGCTGTAGAACCGCCCCCCCCCCGACATTTTAAGAAAACTAAAATATTATTTCTATGATCTATGGAAGTAACAACAAATACAAATTTGTATGTACAAGAACCGAGACCAAAAATAAAACTTAACATCAGTATGCTTAACTACCAAAAAAAATCCTGGCTAAGCCACTGGGACTTATCTTTATGTTATGATCGTGTACGACAATCCGAGTTGTACTCACTTGAGTTTGTATTAGTACTTTTGGATTTTGTTTTGCGTAAACGTCAGATTTAAATTGTATACCATTGGGTCATTAGTAGGAAGAGATATATGACTTAAGATGAAAATGTTAGCTCTTCCATTGACTATGGAACAAATGCACTTTACCTGCCCCACACAATTTTCAAATTGTTTTAAATAACTTATTTTTTATGCTTAAAACTATGGTATACAATTTATTTTTCAAAAGCTATTATTTTCAAAGTTATAGACTTTTCAAATTCGTCGTTGTAACTTGTATGGTAAATAGTACGTACTACGTAATGACTATTACCTTATACAGTTTTACGTACGCAGCGCACTCAACGCATAACATTACTACTTGATAGATATTGATAGGTATACTTGAAATTTTTACTTTGTGACCTAACTTAAAGGTGGGGTAATTTAAGTATAACAGGTAGTCGCTCCATGAAACGATTTTTGGTAGTCATTTCGTGGGTGATCTACCAGAAATTAAAAAAAAAAAACTTATAATTGTATTATTATATACCTACCTATATACCGATCGATAAATATTATGTTTAATACATTTAACTATTTAAGACTATAGTATATACACTTTTACAATCCATTCGGAAATTCATACGTTAATAATTACTTATATAGAGAACTAGGAATACACGGGAGAACTTTATTTATTTACCATTTCTATGTGCCACCGTAACGTATAATTATAGCCTATAGGTACTCCGTAGTCCGTATCTCAATGTCTTACGAGTTACCTACTTATGCACGTGGTTTTATTTATTAATATTTAATAATGAACTCGAACATTGTCCATTTTTATCGAAGTAATAATATCGGACCGGCTCCAAAAAGCCTACCGTGAATTTTAGTTAAATAGGCCCTCAAAAGTCAAAATATAACCATATAGGTATACTTAAATTATTAAAATTATTCAATGATACCAAAGTACAAAATAAATATATTATATTATATTGATGTAGGTATAATTTTTAAAATATAGTTTTTTAGGTAACCAATCTTTGTTTTTCTATAATCACTTATTGGCTATTGCGGTTATGAACATAAAAAAAAATTGAATAATTTTATAAGTGACATAGTGACATAGTATTATATATTATTACTATTATTATTATTATTATTATTAAAGTGTTGTATACGTTATATATATATTATACTAATGATAATAACAATATATTATCATACCATATAATGAACATTGAACATTTTGTGTAATTAATGTATAACAAATTTTTGGGTAGATCGCGTACTACTAAAAAACGAGTTTGGTTAGATCGTGTACCACATCACTAACCGATTTTTATACTCTCATTTTAACCACAAAAAACAAGTTGTTTTAAAAAAAATAAAATTGAAAATTGTACATTTTAGCCAAAATAAATATAAATTAAGTTTTTGTACTTGGAAACACTCCTACATATTTTTAAGGATAATTATGAATTTGTTTAATTTTACAATTTTACTAAAATGCAGTGTTGGGAAAGTTCCTTTTAAAAAGGAACTCGTTCCCGTTCCTCTTTCCTGTCCCGAAAAAAGAACGCGTTCCCGTTCCTTTTTAAACAGGAACCCGTTCCCGTTCCTTCATGTTCCTTTTTTTGCAATTTGAGTGGTGGTCAATGGTGTATTTTGCGAACAATTTTTAAGTCAGAAATAATCGAACCGAGAGAGTTAACCGATTATTTCTGACTTAAAAATTTTTCGCAAAAAACACCATTGACCACCACTGAAATCGGTTAACTCACTCCTTTCTAGGAGCACCGATTTTTAACAAAAATGATTTGTCTTAGATTTTTTTGTTATAATTCAAAAGTTGTATAGCGTAGACTTTTTTAGATTTTTTTTTTCATTATTTGAGGAACGGAAATTTTTGTTCAAGTTCCTTCACAATAGGAACTCGTTCCCGTTCCTCGTTCCTATATTTTAAATGGAACGCGTTCCGAGCTTCGTTCCTATAAAAGGAATGCGTTCCTTCCCAACACTGCTAAAATGTTTTAATTAATTTTTGTGAAATAGTTTTTACTTTGTAAAGTTATTGACATTTCTGATAATTGCATCAATAATTTTACATACACTTATTAATAATTGTTTTTAATTATATTTTACTAATATACAAATTACAAATTGATACTTACAATTTAAATATAATGTATGTATTGATGTCTTTATATTATACTATAATAAATAATAATTATAGGTATTTTGTATTTATGTCTATACTTCATTTAAATTAATATGTTATCTAGCTCTATAAAATATAAGTTTGTATTCTAAATAGATTCTTTGCACTATGCCACTTTTAATATCAATATTGTTATGTAGCCATCTCATAAAAAAAAAGTCATTAGGGATATGAACTTGTTTACAAAGGTTCATTTGGAGCAAAACTTATCTTTTTATATCTTATAAACAAAGTTCAATGACTAAATAATATTAGTACCTAATTCTATTTATGTGCATAAATAATAATACTATAGCTGACATAAATATTTAAATATGTATATATAATAATATTTTAATGTTTGAAATAATTAATGAAACATTTAAGAAAAAAAAATAATCATACCACTGAATTTATTAATTATTTGTTTAGGCATTAGAATTTAATACTTCATTGGAGCTAAAGTGGAAAAATTTCAAAAAAGAATATGAAGAGTTATATACATGCTTGGAAGAATTTCCTAAACAGTTATCTGTTCCAATATTGATGCCACTTGGACCAAAAGTGTTTGTACGTGCACAATTATGTAATACTAATGAAGTGTTCATTAGATACAATGAAATTTTTACTAAACAGAGTGCTTATGAAGCTAAAGCTGCCTGCGAAAGACAAATTAAAAGTATGTATTGTATATAAAATCAAAAAAACATTTTTATTCAAGTTGATAATGTTATTAGGGTGTGACAATATGATTGAAGATTTGAGAAAAGAAAAAGAATTGTTCACAAAAAATATGTGTGTTCGACAAGAAGTTGTTGATGTTTCAGAAAAATTAGTAGAAATAAATGAACCATATGATGAAGTAGAAGAGGCCGCCTGGAATGGTAAAGTATTGCCTGATAAAAAATAAAATTATTATATGCTGGCATAATATATATATATATATATTTATACAACAGAGATACATAGGCAGAAGGTAAAAGAATATAAGAAACGTTTAGCAGAAGAAAAACACAAACAGGAATTAGAGCAACGTCAAAAATATTAATGAATTTAAATCAGTAGGGTTTGATGATAAACTTAGTGGATTGAATAGACCAACACTGTTTACTGCCTCTACAGTACACTATACAATTATGAACGGGTTTGTCTTAATTAATTTTTAAAATAATAATACAATTATTTTTATATTTTTGAATATTTAATTAATACTTGTTACAGGGAAGATATTGATAGTAGTCTTTCAAATGAGAATTTTATTGATATGGAGGATGATGATGATGATGATGACGATGACGATGACGATTATGGTGAGGAGGAGGAGGAGGATGAGGATGATGATGATGATGATGACGATGATGATGAAGATAGTAAATTAGAAATTGTTTTCACCAATGATATACCTGAAACCACTGGAGCCATAAAAAAAAAGAATAAAAAGCAAGTATCATTTAATAATGATGTTCAAATAAAAGAATTTGTACCAAGGCCAGGAGAACATTTCATTCGTCGAAGAGAAGAAACAGCAACAGGATCTATGAGACCTGAAGTATGTATAATAATATTTTACATTATTTTAAATATTAAAATGCATTCATAAGGCTCACACCTAATAGTTCTACATGACAAATAAGAAAATATACTTGTGTGGTTTCTTACATAACTGCTTAAGATAACACATCTGCATCTGTCGTTTTTTTTAATTTTATGTAGTTAGTTTAAATAATATGTATTATAATAAATTAGCATATAATCTAATTTAGAGATAAGAATAATATCTTAGGCATACCAACAACTCGGCTTAGTAAAGCATACCTATGCAAAATATTTCAATTTTAAAATGATCAAAACCTCGCTTTGAAATTTTAATAAAACCAATATATCTGCCTACTTAGTACGTAATACCTTAGATAATGTTCTCATCCTTAAATTTTTTAATTGGTCTATTGACCCTTTGTTTCAATTAAAAACACAAATTGGTTTCTACTGAAAAGACATTTGGTATGTTGTCCGTATGTAGACATGGATAATATAAGACGCGTAACATGTTCTTGAACATTTTGTTGTGATTTCAATTTGTTCAGTTGCTACTCTAGCATTCCCTGCGTATATATACATTATTTCATCTATGAAACTTAAAACAAAACTTTTTGATGAATTTAAACAATTTTAATTTTTGTAAATTTTAGATACTTGTCACGGAAATTGATGACATTGTGGAAAGAGTATCTGATTTATGTCCGCAAAATGAAACTGATGATACAGAAGAAAATGCAAGACCCATAAGTAGGTTTAAATCTAACCGGAAATAGGTAGGATCAATAACATTATAGCAGATATGTATATATATATATATTTTTATTTGGTTAATTTAAGCAGCTAATAAAGCTATTGTATACATCATAATATATTTGTATATAAACAATATTATTAGAAGTGTATAAATTAATTAAAAACCAATTTTGTATAATAAATAATAATCATTAAAAATTGTGATGTTTTTTTTTTAAATATATGAAATAAACTCATAAATATTATCATTTTCAGAGTTCTTATTTGAATATTTAGTGTTGATAGTATAATAAACATATAGTGGAACCTCAATAAGTCAAAATAAATGCTGTTTCCTTACCTAACCCAATTGTAGTAAGTCGAAAACCTCGACAAGTCAAAAAAATTGAATATTCCTTGAATTTCGACTTATCAAGGTTCCACCGTCTATAAAAATGCATAGCCAGAATTTTATCGGTTCAAGTAAAATTTTCCACAGAATATAAGTTATTAGGATTAATTATGTGAAAATAAAATAATGTGCAAAATTAACAAGGTATGAAAAGGAATGGTAAACACTAAACACAGTAAAATTTAACTTAAAACTAATCGTAGTTTCAACATTAAGAGTACTACTATACAATCAAGTGTACTATTATGAAACATGACATGTTTTAAGTAAAGAATGTAACTATTTAACTTAAATATAATTCACAATCAAATGAAAGTTATATTTTTACAAACTGCATTATTTATTTAACTATTATTAATACCCATTCAACATACAGTTTCCTTCACAACCAACCATCACTTATATGTACGACAAACAATTATATTGTACCTTCAATAATATATTATAGTAACCATCATATAAAAATATTTTGATAAATATATTTTAATTATTAGACAATTAATATTAAGGACGGTAATACTAGTGTATACCAAAAAAAAAAACTAAATTTTCATTTAAAATAATATGACAATTAATCACATTCAGTTATTAAAATTTTATTGATTACAAATTGTTTAGTATTATTCGTTGCAAAAAATAAAATAAAGATGAGTAACTTATAAAAACTATTAAATAAAACATTTTGACAAAAAATAATAAACAGATGGGTTAATTTTGAATATTTCATATATAAGTATTAAGTATATATGTAACAAGGATTGCTTACAATAAATATCATGCACAAATTGCACACCAGCCAAATACATTTTAAGTAAAAATGTTGTATTAAATATAATAGTTTATAATAATTATTATTATTAAAATTACACTTTATTTTTTCAATTTGCGTCACATACATTGTAAACAAGGCTATTATATTAGTGATTAAACTAATGTGTTAATATAATTTTGTACTTTACAACCTAATACTGTAGATTAACGATTATGGTAATACAGGGATACATTTGTAGTAAACATACTATGCTCTTGCCACAAATTGTTGAGCAAAAGTGTAGTGACAATAGTGAACTGATAATGTATAAGATTGTGAAAGCACCAACTAAAATTTGTCCCTATACATCATTAAACCACACTATTAGTATATAGTTAAACATTTAAAAACAATGAGATATCAGCTATGTCAATAGTTATATAATTAAGTGATAAAAAAAAAATAAAAGTGTAATTTAACTTAAAATGTGAACAGTAAAACCTATATTTGTTTTGACTAGTATATTTCAGACCACATAATATTTTAGCTATACAATGATATGACAAAATTTTGGGAACTTTGGTTTCTAATAAATAACAAGAGTACATTGCATTTTGTTTGATTACATTAATTTTCTCATAGTTATTAGATGACTTTAAATTTAACTTGGTAGTTTGATCGTTATGGTTCAATTAAAGTACTTGATAAAATGGATGATGAGTATTCATATACAAGCTAGTCAGTATACTTAAGCCCTTTTTAAAATAATTAAGAAAGAAAGGAATTAGATTGTTAATACTTTTTTTAGTTAAAATATTAAATTGATTGATTACATAACTAGCATCTATGCAAAGTTATTTTAGAGAATATATTATAATAAAAAATAACATTGAAAGCTTTTTAGTTTTAATGGTTTAGACACAGAAATAACCTAGATTTTGAAAAGCACCACAGCTTTTTATTCAGTAGCTGTGTAAAGCGCACAATTATCTATTTTAAGTGGACGGCCAATAATAAATAAAAAACTTATACTTTAACAATATAAATAAATATATTCAAGATGAGAATACATGGAAAGTAAATAGAAAGTAAAAATACACACGTTTAATGAAAATCAAATCTCTAAAAATTATTAATTTGGTCAAATAGTATAATATACTGAATGTTAATCCCAAGAACTTTGTTTATAATAAATAATAATTAATAACAAATGTGTGAATTAAAAAAGGTAAAAATCTGAAAATACATCAATGTTAATAAATAAAAACCTAGTAGAAGACATTTTTTAGTACAAAAATATATGAAGTATTTTTGGGAAGTCTTATAATTTAATAATACTTTTTAAATTGGTCATAATTTAATTCCACACACAAAACCACAATACATATTATGTATTAAGACTTATAGAAAGTAGTTTATAGTTGCATCTTTTGTAAGTTTCTGAGTGAAATATTCGTTTCATAGGTAAATATACTAGTGTTTATGATTTGGGGTTGATGGATCGTAAGCAAAATGAAGGAGACGGTGATGGTGAATATACAACAGTGGGCGGTGGCGGAATTCTTTGACGCAGAGCCAATGTATTTGGGGGACTTGTCATATCATCTTTAACTTGGCGGTAATGTAGGCCGCCTAAACCATCACAACGACTCAGCAAGGCCAGCAACAATGTTTCCAGTGCACACAAATAACCTAAAGCCTGGTTAGAGGTGAAAGATACACAAAATATAATACAAGGTATAAATAGTTTAATTGTAAATACTTACTGCAGCAACGAGCAATTGATGGCGCGTGGCACGCGGTACCCACGTATAAAACTCATGAAATGAATATACTTGATGAAGGACTAGCGATGAGCTTGTGAGACACAATATGGTCATCATGACATAGAACAGTACATTCTAGTGGAAGAAATTAAACAAAAGTTCAGTTGAAGTCATAAACACAATATTGTAAATTGTAATAGTTGGCATATGCTCTTTCACTAAGCTAACATGCTTACCAATTTTCCCCAGTTGAATGGAAATAAGTATACAGTGTGCGTGACATCCAAAAAAAGAATAGCTCCAGTTACTAGAAAATTGAACAATGTAACGAACAGTATAAATCGTATCCGATTAAGCATTGGCAACATGAACAATGCCAACCTGGAAGTGCCGGCAAAGCACAGGCATAACATGCACAAGACACAGGTGACCTGGAAAAAGACACGTAACAATTAGATCAGTCGGTATGTATTGCCATTGCGATTACAGGACAAAAAGCCCAGACTCGTACCTATTTTTATATGGAACAATAATATTAATTGTAAATTGAAGGAAAGGAATAAATGATTATTAATCAAATATAATAATGTATAAGAAAATTAAATAAATACAAATTTTTATAATTTTGATTTTGTGAGACAGTAAAAAAATGAGTGCGACTTTTTGACCCATTTTCCATATGTCACCGAGGCAGTACAAGGCAAAACTCACCAACAGTAGAACTCTAATGACGCCCGACGGTGTCTTCATTGGCCTTTTGTCGTAGTGCAACACCACCCCGTTGTACCTGGCCCTAGACGCCTCCTGATGTTTGTAGTTAGCGTGGGAATCCCATGATCCCGGCGTGCCTGCCATGCTGTTGGTGACTTCCAGCCACGATCCTCCGGTCTGGCTGCCGTTGATCTCGAATTCTTGTTCGTCGTCAATGGGAGCGATGTTGCCCTTTGGTTCCAAGTCGTGGATCTCTTCGAGCAGCACCGATATTTCGTCGCTAACGTACAGGTCTGACACGGAACTCAATTGGGCTGGGCCCCGCTGCATCACTGTTCTGCAGACACCTGGTATACCACCTGTCATACATCACACCGTCCATCGTCCAGTATAATATTCTCATCATATATATTATATTATTACAACATAATATAATATACTCGGGTTTCAAAATTTCGACAAGACGATACAAATCAAAATGAAACATTCTTCCAAAAAAACACGCGTCATGCGAGAAAAAAAAGCTAAATAAAAATCGAAAACAATAAACATAGGTAATAATAAAAATAAATAAACTCAAATACATATATTATGATAACAGCTAAGTATTTATATAATATATAATATAATAGTGAGACGGATATACGACTCGTTGTCTTGTTAATCCGTTATGTGTTCGTTCCATGCACACAAAATATAATTAATATAATATTATTTATAGGTACAATAAAATGATGCTTACAGCGAAAAGGAGAACGCTCAAAGGCGTATAATATGTCTTACTGTCTTAGAACAACGATTTGTTCCGTGGCAAACACCGTATACATTGTCTCCAGAGACGACCAAGCGTGCGGTGTAATACGTAAAATATATTTTATGGGTAGGTTAATAGGTAAGTAAACACGACGGCTGCAGCTTTCTGCCACTGTCGGTCAAATGAGCTGAACACAAACACGGCGATAGTGTCATTTATTCAAAAAGGGTTGCACATGACGATGCACGCATAAACTGACTAATGGAAAACTGTACATCACTCAAAAGCATTTCGTATAAAGTAATAACGAAAGGGGTTGTTAGTTCAACGACCGAACCTTTTGAATTATAAATTTCTCTGGGGAGAATGCGAATAGATAAAACCCACGCGACTGACAAAGAGAGAGATGTAGTCTATATATATAAAAAACAAAAATGATAACAAAAGTATTTTTTTTTTTTTTATTCAAACCACCGAGTTTTTCTCAGCCGATCAGTTTGATCGAATTAATTCTATTGATACATTAAAGTTATTCAATCTATTATACAACACTCAATAATTGATCAAACGATATGTTAATCAAAACCTAAAGTTAAAATATTTTAATTAATAAATAATATTTTTTTTTTTTAAATTAAAATACTACTTTCGAATTATATATTAATACAGTTTTTTTTCGACTACATAAAAACCTTTTATACCTCTATACACTTGTCAGTTGTGTACAAAATAATATTTACCATCTTTTACTCTGTCGTTTTGAAAATATTAATCGTGACGACATTGTATTTTTTTAGAAGTATTAATTTCATAACCAATAATTATTAATTATACTAATAAATAATTTCCTTTGAGAAACCTCTTTAGTTCCATTACCTACCCAAGTTGTTAATTGAGTTTAGCACTTATAACGGTTATTTATTTAAACAAATATGAAATGGAAAGTATTGATTGTATTAACAAAAAAAATACCATCGTGTAACATTACAAGTATCGACAATTTATTTTTAAATCAATAAAAATAAATCACATAATAATAAATATAACATAACATAACAAAGCATGTGATAACAAAAAATAAAATAAAATCTTTACTAGGTAATTATATAGGTAGTTAATGTAAATTTTAAATACAAATATGCAACATAAATAAGTAGGTATAATAATTGTGCTTATTTTAAGTCCAATAGCAGTAAAAGTACTCTTGAAATAAAACATGGTTATTTAAGTATTTACAATAATAATACGATGGTGTTTTTTATATACGTACCTATCCACCTAGGTATTAACCAATTATACAAATTAGAGATAAAAAACAAATCCCAATCGTCGTTACAGGACCGACCGACAATTTAATAATAATTAATAATTGAGTATATCTAACCAATACAAACATAACTGCAGAATATAATATTCGGGTGGTCGGATAATATAACGTAGGTAAGTATATGATTTTTTTATTTTAATAACTCACTGGCATAAAAAAAAACCCGAGTCGGCCCAAACTTCACATTATTATGAAACCACAGCGGAAATCGTACAGCATTGATGGATTTGCCCACGAGTCACATCGGCCCGGCGGGCTGTGCGGTCTTACAGCTGGACTTTGCGTATGTCGTCTTCCCGGAAGTCGACCCGGAGCCTGAGTATCTGCCGTATGCAGTCGGGCGTCAGCTTCCACGAGAACCGCATGCCACTGTCCGGGTTGGAAAACTCATTGAGGTCGGACGCCCGTTCCAGGTTGAGCACTGTGGTGACCTGCACTAGCCGGGCGAACTTCTCTCGGACAGGCCACGCGCTAGCCCCGCTGAAGTAGTTGATGAGCGTCCGGACCACCTTGTCCAGTGCCATGCCACCCAGCCGGTTGAATTCAGTCTTCATCACAGCCCGCTCCAGTTGCGCGGCCGTCTCCGCGGCGACGACCACCACTAGCATTGTAGTTGTTGGGCGTCAGCCGGGCGCGGAACTCGGCCAGCGTACCGTCGATGTTCCGTACCAGGGCTACCACGAACGGGTTGTCAGCCACAGTCTGCGCGAATTCCGTTTCGTCAAGCGTGAAATGCTGCTCGTAGAACGGTTCCGTCCACGCCAGAGCCTTGGGCTCGACTAGCGAACTCTGCAGCTGCCTGAACCCGGACCGGTTGGCGGCCACCAGCGACGCGTTCACCCGGCTGAAGTCGTGCAAGCAGCTGTCAAGCTTCTCCGCGTGACAGCCGCGCAGCCTGGCCGGCACCTCGTCCCGAAACGCTTGCGACAGCGAACTGGAGTACTCGACCGCCACCTCAGTGCTGTTCAATGCCGCTAGGAACGTCCGCCGCACCTTGTCCAGGTCGGGCGTGAACCGGTTGAAGTAACCGGACCGCGGTAACCGGCGACTAGCACCTGCGTAAACACCGAGCACATGTCCGCTTCCAGGGCGTTAACTGCGTTGTTGATGACCGCGCACAGCACGTCCAGGCTGCCAGACCGCAGTGAGCGCATCACGCACTTGCGAACGATGAAGAACACGTCGTCCACCATGCTCGATGTGAGCGCGGTGTCCCCGTCACCCTCGATCGTGTCCATCAACACCGCCTTCCTGATGCTCTCCTCCATGTAGTACTTCTCCAGCTCCAGGTACTTGCCCATCATCTCCTGTATGCAACAGCACAACCGGCTGTTGTCCAGAACCGTTTTGGCCGTCCGTGTTTTCGGTTCAACGCCGTCTGCGTTCACTGTCCGCTTGCACACAAACTGTCCGTACAGATCGTACCGCGCCAGGATCATCACGATCTCCTCCACCAGCAAATCAATGTCTTTGGAGTCAGGCCTCGCCGCGGCGTTCGCATCCTGTTCTTCCCACACGGTCTTCAAGAGTTCTCCGATCTTGCGCGTTTTGAGGAACGTCCGCAGCAGGATGTCACCGAACGTATCGCAGTGAATTTGCAAATGGGATAAGAACTTCAACACATACTCAGGACCGTAATGTGTCTCGATCAACGGCTGTTGAACCTCGATCGTCTTGGCCACTTCCTCGAATATAAAAGTCAACCCGTCGGCGAAAATTACACTGGCACGGTTGCTCGATAATGGCGTTTCCATGACATTTTTTAAATTTTTGTCCGCCGACACTTTTAATAACCGCCCCAAGTAATCGACAAACTTTTCCAAACCCACTTCGTGCATTCCGAGTAATGGGAATATTTTAAAATACCTTTCTATAGACTTCGAGTCTTGGACCAAAGACGCGTGCTCAAACCTTTTAGACACTGTGTCCTGAAGGAGCTCTGAAGCTTCCTGCAAGTGTTTAAGAGCACTTGTGATCATTGAACAATCTTGAGCCATATCGTCAGCTGTGCGTTGCAGTTTCGTTTGGTCAATAGACAGATAGCGATGTATATGTCCGGCGGCTTGTTCTAATTCGTCGTTTTTCATTGCAATCTGAACACCTTCGCTACACAACTGTAGGTCTAATAAGTCTTGAACTCGTTTTTGGCATTCTGATACACGTCCGCGTATTTTGTCCAACTGCCGGACTTTGGACGATATGTCCTCGGCGAGTTTGGAAGAATCGTGAATTCTAGTTTGAATTTGAGATAAGTTTTCTTTAATTGACGTTAAAGTACTAAATTTTTTAGTAACAGAGTCAACCTCCTTAATAACGGTAGGCCATTGATTGGTAAACGTTGCCAGACGTTTCCTTGAAGCAATTTCATCTCTGTCCAGCAACTCCAGTGCATTGTTTATTTCATCCAGTGTAATATAGTCTTCGTTACTTGACATCATAACCTTTAACAAAATTATAATGTGGAAAAAACTAAACTATTTTAAGTTTTTACAATGTACAATTATACTTTCCATTTTATAACCTAATTACGTTTTTTTATTGGCTGCCAAATGATAAACCTAATTTTTTTATCATCTGTTTAGATTCTTAGTTTATATGTACGTAGTATCATACTATTATACTAAATAGAAATGATAAAATGTGGTATAATTTGATTGTTCTATAATATTTTAGGTAGGTTACCCTATACTTATTTGAATATTAAAATATAAATTAATAAGACATTAAAAGGTATTAATTTTTACTCAATTGCTGTTTATACTTTTATCCATTATTACAAAAGTCACTTTGGTGATAAATGATGAAAAAACCAGGTTTTTGAATAAGACTTACAGATATTCACCAAATTTTGTAAAAAGAATAAACGATAAATGTCTATTATTTCAGTTCAAAATTACTACATACTTCAAAAATTACATTTACTAAGTATATTATAATAAAAAAACTAACTGACTTTAGATTTTCATAAATAAAATAAAAATAAACTTTCTAAATTTTGGATAACAATGTAAAAAATAACTACCTACTTATTTATAATTAAATAAATATAAATACAAACAAATAAAAAAATGTGGGGACCTTAAATTTAATATGTGATAATAATATGTTTATTCAGATGTTTATTGGCATATTAATTATTAGGCAATATTAACCAAGTAGGTTTACATTATAAATGTCTTTATAATTTAGTAGATTAAAATATACTATAGGTAACTATACATAGAAACCCTTGTTAGGTGGTGGGTTTAATAAGTATTTGGTTAAATAGCTATAATTTATAAAAAAGTATTAAAATACATAAATTATTATTGCTGAACAGTTATTGCTAATTGCTTCAACTGTTTTAAAACAGTTTCTAATAATTTCTTTTTATCTCTTTCACTTTTCTTTAATACTGAAAATACACTTTTTTTATCAGCTTCTTTTAATTTTTCTAAAACAATAATGGCTGTAGTTGGTTTAACATGAGAATATTTTGACGTTTCTTGACCATAATCATGAAAGTAGGTTGACCAATCCCAACTCAGAAGTAAGTCCAAAAGTTGTCTCAATGGTGCAAAATGTTGAGAAAAATCTGGTTCATCAGTTTTTCCAACAGGCTCTGATGCAGCAAATAGTTCACATTGTATAACATCTAGATTCAATTGATTTAAGGCACCCATCGATAATTGTTTAATATCATCACTGAGTAATAAATTTAATATAGATTTTGATATGTGTTCAAATGCTACTTGACACACATGCACAGACACTTCTTCAGTAAGATTTCTTAATGCATTAAAAACAACTCGTAGAAAGTTTATTAAGTCAGTAACAAATGAGGAAGCTTGACCAGTTGGTTCGACTAACATCCAATCATAGTCTTCTAAATCTAAAAATTCATTTAATTTTAATTTCATTTTATCATACATGTGATGTTCAGCATCATTTCTGGCCACACCCAATGTTATGCCTGCATCATCACCAACAGTACCACCAGTAGATCCAGTAGCTTCCGATACAAATTGTTGAATTGATTTTGATGATTTTTCCAAATATCCAGTGTCAACAATAATCTGTATTACTTGTAAAAGACCAAGTCGTGGTTGATGAAATGCAGATGATAAGCATCCACTAAAAGTTCGAGATAGTAGCAATTTGGTAGATTTTTGAACCATTTCATCTACTTCGCCTTCACTAAAATTTAGGTCATTGGAAAACTTTAGACAAGCAAATATAAACTGTTTTACTTGATCATAAACACTAGGCACCATTGAAGAAAATGGAAATTTCCTAGGAAATTTTGAGGATTCTAATTGATCATCTTGATAAGGAAAAGTTCGTACAACATTATCATATTGATCTTGATTATCAACCTCAAGATGACAAAAAGTTTCTCTATATAAAATATCCCTAAACACTTGAACCCATTTTTGCATAAGTATTTCGTTGTAATGTTCTTGTATTTCATGTAATAATTCCATATAGTTTTTAACAGGATATCCATAACTTCTAAGAGTTATGCAAAATACCATAATTAAATCTTTAATTCTTAAGAGTAAATTTGCATCTGTACAGTACGCAGTATTTGTTCTCATTATGCTAACAACCTTATCAGAAGCCATTTTCCACAAATCTTCCAAATAAGGTCTTGTCAACAATCCATTACCGGTGTTTAATACATGATCTTCTACAACGAAAAATCCTACAATGCACTGTAAATAATAGCAGTAGCTTGAAATAGATTCGTGCATGTTGTTAGGAGGGTGTAGAGTTAAAAGTGCTTGTTCTCTTCTTTGTTGCCTATAATAAGCGTCGAAAGTGTCTCGTGAAGACAATACAGTACAAATATGAAGACAACGGTATACAGGTGAAAAATCAATAAGATCTTGCGCACTCAATGAATCTTCATCGTCAGAGTTATCTTCTGGTGAATCTTTTTTCTTCTTTAATTTAGTTAAGCCAAAATCAAAGTTTTGTTGTTCAACACTATGCTTCATTGCAGCTTCACCAACTTTTGATGAAAATTTTCTTATGGTTTCTAAAAAACAATTTAAATCTGACATGGATGATTCTTTGATATTTTCTCGAAGCTTAGGAATTTTTTCTATCATTTGTCTAAAAAATTTATAATGTGATACTTGAGGCAAATATAATTGTTCAAGTTGTTCTAATGTTTTCAGCGCAGGATAATAGCGTTTGTCAGCCATTTGCTTTTGTAATTTACTGTATGAAGAAAGTGCAGGCAAACATAAAGATAAGCTATTAATAGCCAATTGAATATTATTCTCCACCTGTCTGGCTTTAACCAATTCTTCGCCAGCATTGGTGACCTCAGCAACAATAGTTTGTACATTTGAATTCAGTTGAACAACTTGTTTTTTTAATTTAGATGCTTGGTTTTCCACTTGCTGCAATTCTCTGATAGAATCTATGAAACCTTGATAATAGAAATTGCACATACGTTCGATTTCTTTGTCGTACTGCTTGATGCGGTTGTCCAAAGTGTCAATGAATTTGCGGCTGTCGTCATCTTGGTCGTATATGGCTCGGAAAGTCGGGCCCCAGTAATCATCGATGCCTTCAATCTCTTGTAGCAAATGTTCTTGGTTCTGCATGTTTTCTACACAACAAGCTAGCACAAAAACAAAAACATAACTGGTTTCTTTTTGTAACTTACAAAAACCCTATTCCTACTTTAATTAAAAATGGATATATATGCCCTAACTGTAAAGAGGACCCTCATCTTGGTACATAACACAGTCAACCCACTAATTGGTCATTGTATACCCCAAAAGTTTAAATTTCAACACAATACAGCTACAAAAGAAAATCAAGCCAGCTAACATAGGAATAAACCATGGACCAAAATATATAAATCTTAGTCGGTGGAATAATCAAAATAAAAATTAATTCTTGCTAACTATAAAAAAAAAAAAAATCAGGAATACTACCTACAAGCTACACGTTTGGTACACTATAATATAATATTTTTATTATTGAATATTGTTACTTACATTTATAAAGATACGTGGAACGAACGAGACATCAATCTCAATGGATGGTGAACGGTTCGGCTTGCAAACTTTAGATTTCCGGTAAGAAAGTGTTCAACGACACAGGAAAACTGTACCTAATAATCGATATAAATTATGATATGACAAAGTTCTGTAGTTCGGCGGCAGACTACGGTGTATGAGTCAACGACCGAAATTTAATATTAAATAATAAATATTAATATCTAAAAGGAAGAACAGCAGACGGTAGAGATTCACGTCCCTCGATCCGCTGGCAGGCGGCTGCTGCAGAAGTGCAGAATGCAGATTAAAATATTAGATGAAAAAAAAAAATCGAATGTAAACACAGTGAGCCGTCCGTGGCGGACGCCGTGGCTACGTCGTCATGCAGTGTGACCAACCTTCGGTGGCGGGCTATTCGAACGAGAATATAATACATATAAACAATATTATTGTGACAACGAAATAGCGTATTTTATTTTTCATAGATATAATAAACTATAAAGTATAAACATAACAACTATTATTATGTTGCAATGCGACTATTAAACAATATTTTTGATTTTTCTTTTATTTTGAACCTTTGAATAACGTTACACTAAAACAAATAATAATAGTTAGGCATACAAGACGGAATAAAATATAAATACCTAAATTATATTATATAACATTACTCTAAGACGAAACGACAAGTTCAGATCTATATAATATCATTAATATTATGGCCGATGAAAATCCGGTAAGATCCTTTTGAAATTAATACTATATTGTAATGAGTGGAAGGGAGGGCGTTTCGTGTGCAATTCGTTTGATCGGTGTTTATAAAATAATTATGTTTATTATCACTGTCCATATTTTCAGCTTACAAAGTTGCAACTAAATTAATATTAATCAACAAATTTATTATTATTGTGTAGTCGAGGAGTTATGATGTATAAATACACCTATTTTATCCGTGGTATTTAATACATTTATATACCAATATTATTATAATAGGTATAATATGACATGTTCAGAGCTATACACTAACATCTGACGTATATCCAAATGTTTTTACTTTTGAGCAGAAAAATCGAGACCAAGGCATGTCGTCGAACAGCGCTGTAGATGGTGTGAAATGGCAGGATCTAATGTCCACGATCATACTGGATCGATTGGAAGCGTCGTTCGGCAACTGGGACGATGAATTACCACACACGACGGGGCGAATGACACAAAATACCAAAACCGACTGTGATGGACGTCCACAGCAGTGCACCATCGTCGGGGGGGAATCGTCTAGGATGCCATATTTTGATTCAGCGTGCCATGACGACGATACCGGTCTCGTGCACACGACTACCGACCAAGACTCAATCGTATAAAATATTTATATTTAAATCTAAACATTATGATATTAATATAAATAGTTGCATAACACATTTTTTTCCCTACAAAAAACCGTATATTTTAGTATCGTTAATACGAATATACGATGTAGAACGACGTGATATAACACCCTTGCTCGCACCCCTGGAAATAGTGACTATAGCGAGTGATTCACCAAGCATATTCATTACTCACCCCCTTTTTATCATTCAATAATGCAATAAATATTCATATTCAATTTTTAGATTCTGAGTGAAACGATGAATGTATTGATTTTACAATGATTTGTGTGTTGTTTTTTTTTGTGTCTTTGTACACGATTAGTAGTCGAAATAATGCTTCGATTTTCAACTTAAGTAACTTGTTCGATGGGAAAGTGAATCTAGTTGGTACTTTTGGGAGGTCAAAATTTAAAATTGTCAATAGTTTTCACAAGCGAAGCGACAAGGTTAACAAAAGAAAAATTAAGGAAAAACAGGAATTTTTACGCAAAATCGATTTTTCACAAAATTGAATTTGGTTTTGGTGTAACTTTAAAACAAATGACCGTAGACACTTGAAATTTTCACTGGTTGTTTATATTTGCATTTTTATACACTATAATATTTTCAAAATATTTTGATTTATTTTGAACTGTTTAGGGACATTTTAATTTTCCATTTTTTTAAAATTTTTTTTCTAAAGATATCAATAAAATTTTATTTGTTGGCTGAAAAAGCTTGAAAATTTAATAGAAGGTCCCTAGTATATTGTTTCAAAGGCAGATGAAAAAAATTAAAAATCCTTAGTCACAATTTTTTTTTATAAGCATTTAAAGTTCAAATATTGACCAAATACGTCAAAATGACGAAAATTTGAAAATTATTTCGAGTTAAAAATTCGTAAAAATTTTTCTTTTTAAATCTAAGGTTTTAAAATGTAATACAAGATTCCTCATAAGTTTTTCTACCTTTATCAAAAAAAAAAAATTCTATAAGAAAGTCAAATTAAATTTTTATGAGCGTTTGAAATTCAAATTTTTACAACATTGGATATTCACTCGATTTCTCATGTAGCGATTTCCTTATTTTAATACAATAACGAATAAATGTAGATACATGAAAATTTCACTGAATGTTTATATTAGCATTTCCTATACACCATACAATTTTGAAAATATTTTGACTCTTTTTCAGCTGTTTACGCACATTTACAGCTTTCAATTTTTTTTAGTTTTTTTTTCTATAAATATCAATTAAGTTTTATCTGTTTTGCCAAAAAGTGTAAAAATTTAATACAAGGCTCCTGATATATTGTTACAATATCAGTTGAAAAATAATAAAAATACATAAGCACAATTTTTTTTTATAAGCATTTAAAAATCGAATTTTGACAAAATTTATCAAATTTAAAATTGAATAATTATTTTGTAGTTAAAAATGTATAAAATGTTCAACTTCTAGGTATATCTAAGGATTGAACATTTAAAACAAGACTCCACGTATATAGTCAATTCTGTTACCAAAAAATCTAAAAAATACATAAACACAGTTTATTTTTATAATCATTTTAAGTTCAATTTTGGACAAAATTACATAAAAAAAACCTAGAAGACCTATTTTAGTTATTTTGTTGAGATTGTGTAATTATATATTCGTGGGTACTTGATACTTCTAAAGTACACTATTATATATCTATGGAGTATGGACTATGATAGTATCAGGGTTTGTTGTAGACGTATATCCCATTATAAGTACCTAATGGATATTGTGATATGATTAATTTGAAATTTATTATAGGTACCTATTTTAGGTAAATTTTTTTTAATACGATAGATAAGTATATAATATGTCTTATACCTAGACATACCGTCTCCGCTCAGAATCGTTTTTCTTATACAATGATATTATATCATTGAATTAAAATTTAATACTATCCATTATACAGTGACCCACTTGTAACCTACTGTACAGCAGAGCGACACCCACTTGCCCACCTTTTTATGCTTAAAACTATTTTATACAATTTTTTTTTCAAAAGCTATTATTTCAAAAGTTATATAGCACATAAGTTATAGCACCTTTTTTTAAGTTTTTTTTTTTAACCACAGATTCTAATAAATACGAAGATTTATAAGGTGATAATATGACTTTATTATTTTTATGTTAGGCGAATTATTTTTTTGAAAATGTATATGCATCTAAATTCAAACTAGTAATTTCTGAGTTATTTAACTTTATACATCTACTCGGGATAATATTCCTTAATAATGGTTAAAATACAATATATAGTCTATAGCAGGGGTCTCAAAACTACGGCCCGCGGGCCGGATATGGCCCGCGAACAAGTTTTAACCGGCCCGTGGGCCGTGGCCCGCATAGGACGCATATGTAGGTAAATATCGATAAAAAAATTATTGCAAAAATGTATTTATATTACATTATATTTATACCTATTTATTTTTATTTAAGTATACAATATTTTATACAAAAATATAAAGTAAACATATTATTTATTTAGGTAGGTACCTACCTAATATATTATCATAAAATTAAAAATTATATGTGTTAATAAACTTTTGGCCCGCTAAGAGCATTTGATTTTTTTTTGTGGCCCTTGAATAAAAAAGTTTGGAGACCCCTGGTCTATAGTATTAACTATTAATTATACTCAGTCACTCAGAAGATTTTTACAAATTATATAATGTTAGGTTAAATCTTAAATGTCACTATTGGTTACCTAATATTAATTAAGATAATGTTCAAAATGTTTAAATAACCATGACCCCATAATTATATCTTCTAAGGTTAAAAATCCAAACCTATATTATGGTCTATTATTATCCTTTATAATACATAATATTTAATAGCTCAAAAACTGCTCATTCAAAGTTGGGGTTAGATGCATAGTTTTCAAATTAATATCATCTACTTAAAAATTTAGGTACAGTATAGATAAAATATAGTTGGAACAAGACCATATTACTAATTAGATCAGATAAAAATCAAAATATTTGAACGTACATATGTGGTCTTTAGAACTTATAAGTATAAAAATCACCGGCATGTATAAGTATAATAATTAATAAGTAATAATTTAAGAGGAGAAGATTTGGCCCCGAGAAACGGCACGACAGAATATATTATTTTTTCCGCAATGCGCAGATATTATACTTTATACTTAACAATATACATAGGTATTATAATGTATGATATGGCGTGTGTCCTATATAGATTTTTTTACAAAATATACGTTGAAAAATTATCAATCTTCCTCATATAATTCTTACAGTATAATTAATCCTTTATCAGCCTGACAGCCTCTACCAATTTTATTTAACTTACAACTTACGTAATAATTAGTTAACATATATAAATAATATTATAAATTAATTAGACATACCTACCTATTCGTATTCGGAAAACGACAACGAGAGTGTTAATGTTATATTATTCTGAGACCTGAGTTATAATTTTTATGTAAAACTAATGAATACTATTAAGTATTAATCATAATAATTTTATTATACTATATTATAACTCAAAATCATAGTTTCCAAAATATTAATTAAAAATAAAATAGGTTATTGATGGATTATTAAATACGTTAAGAAGTGAGATCTGGAGACTATACTACTGAGTATAGAGTCTACGCCGTAGACACTATAGTCTAGTCTCATAAGGCACCTTTTGGCTTGTATATATACTATATAGGTATATAATATGTACCTATATGTATACGGTATGTCGGTACCTATATACTAATTATACTATATAGGTACAGTAAAAGCTATACATAATATTATAATCGTAATGCAGATAACAATAAATTCATATTTTTAAAACGTATATACCTACATACTGCCCTCACTGTACTTAGGCGTGCACGTCGCTGTTGTATGATTGCTCTACCGATGGATTTCTCGATGGAAACAACAGGTGTTGCAGATGCGGTATGAAACCTCAATATTCTCTAAGTTGTCTGTACGTATAAAATTAAATACTAATCAATAAAACACAATTATACTTGGGGTACATTTTAGTTAAATTGATGAATATAATTATCTAAAATATTTTTCATTGTCGTTTCTTATTCGTAACTAATTATACATTTATACCAATTCGAAATAATTATTCTCAAACCAATTGATTTTCATATATTTAGTTTTTACTTTATATTCATAATATATTTTAAGTTAGTCTAATATATCACATCATTTTTAGAACCAACAATCCGAGTAGTAGAGAATCTATCTCAGAAAAAATAAAAAAAAATGAAACTGAAAACATAAAACAACAAGTGGAGATTTATAGAAACCGATTAGAGTGCTTGTTAAAAATGAATTATCAACTGCAATCCGAACTTAAGAAAACTGTATGTTTTGACTTAAAATACGAATATTGTGTATCCAATTTTATCATAATATTTTATCTCACACAATTGAATTTATATTTTATATTAATGTATTACCTATTGCAGATTCGAAAAAATTTATTAATGGAACAATATATTACAGTAAGTTATTTATAATGTTATATATTGTAAGGATTGCATTTATGATTTATTTAGATATTTATAACAAATATAACTTATAAAAATGTTTCATATTAATGTTATTATCTAAATTATAAATAAATACTAAATATTTAATGTGTACTAAAATCAGTAGAAAGACAAGTAGAATCTTTTTGAAGTCCATTGTTCTGTGTGCCTTATATCATTAGTATACAATATTTAGAATTTATAATTAAATTTTAACAAATTATTAAGTCATAGTTTAAATGTATAATGTACTATAATAATTCATTAATGCAGTCGTATAAAGTTTAGGTGGGTAGTATATATAGATACTACTATAGGAATATAATTGAATTTATAATTTTGTATCTCATGTCGATAACACAATTAACTTTAGCAAAAATATGTGATGTTTAAATTTACTGTTAAATGTCCATGTAGGTACCTACCTTACCTATTATAATTAATAATTAAGAGGACGCCACACCCGCATGTGTTCTCTCCGTCTTACAAATGTACAACATAACAAAAACTCTTTTGCGAGGGACAACTTTTCTCGCACCATATTTGTTGTAGAACTACCAAATTTTCACAGCACTTAAAGAAGAACTTTATCTGTGCAACAGTGTGCTCTTTTTTTCAATAGCACCATCCAATCATTTTTTATAAGCAAATTAAAAAACCAAATGTTTAGAAGCAAATAACTTGTATTGTATATATGTTATTGAAAAAAAGAGCACGCTGTTGCACAGATGAAGTTCTTCTTTAAGTGCTGTGAAAATTTGGTAGTTCTACCACAAATATGGTGCGAGAAAAGTTGTCCCTCGCAAAAGAGTTTTTGCTATGTTGTACATTTGTAAGACGGAGACAACACATGCGGGTGTGGCGTCCTCTTAAACAAATTATGTTCCTATATACGACCAAACGAGTGCACGATTGGGTACTATAATATGTTTATGTTATAATATATTAGTATCTACCTAGTAGGTACCTATATTTTTAATATAATTTATAAATACATAACTACCTAACTATAAATTATTGTGTTTTTGTATATAATATAGTGGCCGTATGCTGTAAACAATGGGAAGGTTGAGTTTCCTGGCAAAAATGATTTGGTAAATGATTATTCAAACTTTTGGATGTTGAATATTGGTTATGCATATTGTATAATATTATTGTCTAGACTCGAGTCCGAGTATCTATCAAAATATAATAATATGCTCGTATTACTGTATTAGTGTACTGCATTTTATATTACATTTTTTAATTTTTACGTTATACTTATAGGACCAACGGTTCGATCGTTTGTTCAAAGAGTTGGAAAAAATACGAAACGAGCTGAAACCTATTCAAAACGAAAGCTATATTGTCAGTAAATTGGAAAAAATACTGCACATACCATTACCGGGATGTTTAAATACTAAGTCTTGTAATAAATATATGAATAAAAAATAGTGAAATCTGAATGCAATATTGCTTGATAGTTGATACATTATATTATATAATATTTAAACATTTCATACATAATATTATCAATGGCCTTTTATTGAATACTTAATATAATATCCTCATTATTGATGTGAGCAGCAATTATTAGAAACACAGTTTAAAAATACCTAACCCATAATTGATTTTTTACGATCACGCACACGCAGTGGCGTATTTAGGAATTTGTCATGGGGAGAGTCCGGATAATTTTCAGAACACAGAGCCACGGGGGACGAAGCCGCCCCCCACACCACCCATTTACTCTTTATTAAATAATACCATATTATAAGACGATATAAAATTGTCGAGTTTTTAATTGTTAAATAATAATATGTACAAAACAAATTTAAAAAAAAGCGGATAAGTGGATGTCACTCAGCACTCTGCTGCAGTGCTGCTGTACAGTAGGTTACAAGTGGGTCAATGTATAATGGATTGTATTAAACTTGAACTCAATGATATAATATCATAATATCATTGTATAAGAAAAACGATTCTGAGCGAAGACGGTTTGTCAGTCTGGATATTTTATATTGTTATTATTTATTATAGCCTGTAAGTTGAATTAATAATGAAATACTTTTATTTTTTTCTATGGTGATAGACAAAGTGTTAGAAATTAAAATCCCATTTTTAGCGGTTTTTTCGTAATTTTTTGGTGGTTTTTACAGTGGCATTAAATAACTATTGAGAAAATCGAAAAATGACCTCTCTAAAGTACTATCTTGATCCAATTTTCTAAAAGATAAGTTACTTAGTATATACATATAGTAACTGTTACTATATGTCTATAATCTATATACATGTTGAAATCGAAGCACTCCTTCTGGAAGAAATTTTGTATACAGGAAAAAAAATAAACACCATTGTAGAACCAATAGATCCCTCAGAATCGAATATCGTCGCCTAAGAACCATCATGGCCAATCTCAAAAAATTCAAATATATGTTTTATATATCTATAGATTCGTATTTTCGAGACGCATAAGACCACTGACCAAGTGATTAGTTTCGATGTTTGTCCAATAGGTTTGCTATAAATCGTCTGTCAAAAGGTCTACCAACATTCAAAATTCCTAACAAAAAAACAGTTTTTTGTCCACCCTGAAAAGTTGGGAAAACTGAGATTGGCCATGATGGTTCTTAGGCGACGATATATAGTTATATGTTATAACTTTTATACAAATATTTCCTTAATTACATTAGGTACCTACCTACTTAATTTATAGTTGATCTTAGATAGCTTTTCAACCTTAAAAAGGTTGAAAAAGATCTCTCTGGAGTGGTTGTAGATACTGGCAATGTACAAAACTACAAAATATTTGAATTAAAAAATGAATTTGGTATTTTTCAACCATTTTCGGTACCCAACTGATAAAAATAATCACGATATTTATTGAAAATGTTGATTGTTGATATAACTACAGCTTCGAAAATTTTTTAAAAAATCCGTAAAATCGTATGATAAAATTTGTTTTTTAATCATGTAAAAACTGCACAACATTTAACATGTACGAGACACGAGTCAATGGGGGGGGGGGTCCGGACATCATGGACCCCCCCCCGTAAATACGCCACTGCCCACACGATATTTTTGACGGTATATTAATACGTAATGTCTGGTAATGAACTTAGAACACTTCTATATTGCTGACATCAGATCGTATACAGTTGGGAGTTGTATCTAATTTTAGTTTATCACCTAGGTAATTAGAAGATAGGTACCTAGGTTGGATTAGGTTAATATTTCGTATTTTTGAAACAATGAACCAAAATTCTAAAAGCCCGGTCTTTTTGACCGTGAAGCGTGTGCTCTAGGGTTAAATATCATATTCAGATGAAGTTAGTGTTGTTGTTCAATTTTTCACTAAATCCAGTAGGTAGGTAGGTACTCAAGTAATCAGTAGGTACCTACTCAGTACTATTCAGTAAATAGTAATTTTGTCTAGATGTCTATTTCATATTTGTTGTAAAGTAGGTACAATTGTATAAAGTATATCTAATAGAAAAATTAGTTCAGATCCATTTTATCTACTTAATATATTAAATAATTAATTACCCTGGCCGGCCGGCTGCCGATGTAACCAAGCGTCAATAACTCGCGTCTCGCACCACCGCTGCCCAAAAGCCAATCAATAGGCACAAAAACTGGCGCAGACACAGTACATCATGAACTTTTTGTTGTACCCGCTCTCACGCCTATCATGGTTTACTTGCAATGGTAATAATATGTCCGTACACAGTAAGAAGAATCTACGGCGACATCGTTGAATATGTATCTATTGTTATTTGCGATTTGAGATACAAGTATACAATAACAATTATTTAAAAATTAAAAATAGAATGGTAATACATGAGAAATGTGTTGTTTTTTTTAGGTGAGTACCTAGGCAATAGCTATTAATTTTGTGATTTTAAATTAAAAGCTTTGAAAATTAATACAAGTTTAATTTAATAACTAATATTATTTATAAATAATTATTTAAAACTTCAAACCATGATCAAAAGTCGTCTGCCAATAAAGATTTACATCAAATAGGGTAAGAAAAATATTTACCTATAATATAGGCTATATGTTTTATAAACTTTCATTACATTTTAATTTAATACATTGACGTCTTATAAGTTATAAATTATAATAACATGGTATATACAAACAGTTTATTATAGGTAGGTACTTGAAGTTGCACCCTAAATGGCTAAATCGTTTTTCGAATGATGCAAAATGAATTATTATTATTTTCAAATCAAAATTAATAATTGTATTTCTTATAAGTTATAACTACGTACGTTACAGCTCGTGTAACAACTGAGGAGACGACTTCTGCAGTTCTGCAGTCCTGCAAGGGTGGTCCAATACTCAGTGTGTGTTATTTTTTATATTTTAAATTTTGTATTTTTGTCCTTATAATATACCTACGTATTAGTGTATTACGAGTATCACGCCATACAGAAATTATAAATATATTTTAATTATTCATTAACACATTATTACCTAATTAATAATGGTACATTAATGTCATTATTCACATTTCGTCAATGATAGGTAACACAATTATGCGGGCGTGGCTGGCTGTTTTGGGCCGTCGGGTGTCTAGACACTCACCTTGAGAATTCATTGATCTAAAATATTGTTATGGTACTTCTGAGTTTACTAATTACTTCGCACTCAGCATATTATATTATTATAAAACTCATTTAATTTTTTTTTCCATTATCATTGGTTATTATATTGGTAATAACTAATAATGTAATATTACAATAAACAATCAACATAGGTATTGGAAATATAGATTATAGGTAGGTATAATACACGTTACAAGTATAAAAGAAAAATAGAAACAAGGATTAGTTAAAAATCAGTTCGGTACATTTTTTTCAGATTATTTACAATCCAAGCCCAAAGCACAAAAGTCAAAAAGTGAATTTGATATAGGAAACTATAACATGAAATTTACGAAATTACGAATTTGAAAATCTGGTTTTTATCTTATCACTCTCGGAGAACTGGGCAAATAGATATATAATAGAATTTTGAAATCTTCTATTATATGTCTAGGCCCTAGGGGTCTGGGTGCCGCTATTAGATTATAATATACGCCATGTATGATCATAATAGGTGTCAGTGTGTCACCCAATGCCCAAGGGCCAAGAGCCGTGACAAAGTTTTAAGAATTTAAGAATTAAGATAGCAATGATTTATCTTTATCGTGCTGGGCACACGGCTATCGGGCTATGTCATATGGATAATCACGGACTAAGATATACAGGACTGGACACGACAAGGTTGGAGGGTGTGGGGGGTTGACTACGAAATGTTTTACAACAGGCAGTGTTCGGGGGGATATTTTCCTTTTAGCATTACTAGCGCCGTCCTAGTGGATACTTATGGAACTAGAAATTTGTATGATGTGTTCTAGTTCCATAAGTATCCACTAGGACGGCGCTAGTTATGCTAAAAGGAAAATATCCCCCCGAACTCCGCCTGTTGTAAAACATTTCGTAACCACAATATTCATCTCGTGTCCAGTCCTGTATATTATCTTAGTCCGTGTGGATAATATTATTATCTATATTCTATACAACCATAATATCAATAATATACAACTTACTGTCGTGGCACAGAATAGATGAAATTTCATCTATTCTGTGGTCGTGGTGTCATTTTTGAATGTTTTGTTTGTACTGATAATTCTTATCAATTCGTTTTTGATAACTATTAACTATTAATTAATAATTTTTAATGTGTAATGTGTAATGTGTTGTATTTACAACAATAATGATTTAATTCATTGTTTTTAATTTTAAACTTATTATTTCCGAATTTTCGTAATATTATACAATTATTTATATAGGAATTGTTTTCTATTTTATCTATACGACTATACACACTTACATACATACATGTTATGTAATTTATACCGATCACTCACTGACTTAAGTTATTACTGTACAAATATCAGTTTAGTTAAAATTAAATTAAATTGATTGGTATTGTAATAAGTTACCTTTAAAATGTTCTCTACTCTCTAGATAGTTTTAATCTTATTATCAAGACTAATAAGTATTCTTCGACTGTAACTTCTATTAAGAGTGAATTTCTATTTCTACATTAATTAATAGATTTTAATTATGAGTATGGACCGTGATTATGCACCGCTTAGTGCTGCGTGTGTTCGGGCATTGAACGATAAAATGTATGATAAGAGAAAAGCGGCAGCGCTGGAAATTGAAAAGTAAGTGTTTGACAGTTTTTTTGAATTATTTAATTTTCTTATTGAATCATTTTATTTGGCTTAGGATGGTTAAAGAATTTGCGGCTGTCAACAATTCTATGCAAATACGACGGTTGTTAAAAGTGTTGGGACAAGATTTTTCAATGTCAAAAAATGCTAACACTAAAAAAGGAGGACTTATAGGACTTGCTGCTATGGCTGTTGGACTGGGAAAAGTATACATAGTTTTTTT